AGAGAGAGAGAGAGAGAGAGAGAGAGAGAGAGAGAGAGAGAGAGAGAGAGAGAGAGAGATGGTGCAAGTTAGATGGTGATATGGGGGCAGTGCAGCTTAGTTACTGTCAAGTTAATCAATAGCAAGTGTGCGTTTCTGGTAAAAGAAGACCGGGGGTAGGCGGGGCGGCCACGTGACGGCCACGTGGCGACCGGTTTTGCCCGTTGAACACAGGGGGGGCGGTTGAGACCCCGTACACCGAAGCAAAAAGGAAAAACGAAATAGTAATAAAGAAAAAAAAAATGCAAAATTTTGGCCTGGCAACACCCTGAATTAGGATATATCGTCAGTGGATCATTACTATATATTGGGTTCAGCCTCCTGATGAGTCAGTGGGTGAAACTCCGACGAAACAGTTTGTCACAGCCTCTCGTTTGTTGTCCTCTTCTTCCTCTCGTCTTCCTCTCTGCCTACGGTTTACCGGGCAGCTCTGTTTGACGATATACATATAGATGTGTATGTGTATACCCCGGTGAACCGTCCGCAGAAAGGGAGAAGAGGACAAGAAACGAGGGGCTGTGACAACCTGTTTCGTCAGCGTTTCATCGACGCATCAGGATGGCTGAACCCTCGACAGTCTGCGGATCTTTATATTTATCCATATATCGTTATATCTTTTATATATCGTCACAGAGATATTGCTCGGTGAATCGTAAGCACAGCGGGAGAAGAGGACAACAAATGAGGGGATGTGACAAACTGCTCTTTCGTCGGAGTCTCAGCGACTCATCAGAGGCTGAACCCTATACATCTCTCTCTCTTCTCTATATATTCAATATCATGCGCGTGAGCATCATGCCAAATAGCATAACACAACAAGACAGCATATATGTTGCGGGAGAAGGAGGCTTTACGATAGGCTGGCGTCCTCCGGTCCTAAAAAATGAGGACGCGCCAACTTGAGATGCGTATCGCATCAATCCGTTGATTGACGACATGGCCGCCACGTGGCCGTCACATAGTCGGTCACGTGGCCATCACGTAACCTCCTCGTGGCCGTCACATAGACGCCACCACGTAGGCCGTCACGTAGTCACCAAATAGCCGCCACGTAGGCCTCCACGTGGCCGTCGGGTAGCCGCCACGTAGGCCGACCCAATAAATTAGAAAACAAAACGTGTCTGGATTTGTGCATGTCATCATAAACATTTTTCAATGATTCTTGCACAGCTGCCATGCAAATATTATCGCTATCGTTCCAATTTTAACGGATGTCTCAAAGGACTTTTTTTTTTTTTTTTTTTTTTTTTATAAGAATGTAGAACTAAGTACTTACGTAGTTTATATTCAATCTTGGCTGTTTTACTCTATTTTTATTCACAATCATATCGCCCCAAAACAAATCAGAAACAGAAGATCTGCAGTCAAGATGTCGGGCTCAAACTTTGTTTTTAAAACACACGCGTTCTTCAAAAACACGAAAAATTGTATCAGCATGGAATCTCTGTTGCCACGTGGCCGTCGGGTAGCCGCCACGTAGGCCGCCACGTGGACGTCATAGCTACACGTGGTAGCCGCCACGTAGGCCGACACGTGAGCGTCATAGCTACCACGTGCTAGCCGCCACGTAGGCCGACACGTGGGCGTCATAGCTGCCATGTAGCGGTCATGTAGCCGCCACGTGGCCTTGTATGGGCTGTTGAGTACTGGGAGGTGCTTGAGGCCGTCAGAGTGCTACTGATGAACGGATGGGTGAGTGCTCGAAAGCGCACTGGTAATGATGATGATAACACCTAGGCTACCAGAGTGGCCGGGGGCCACTTGCCCGGCCGGGCCAAAAAAATAAAAATAAAAAATAAAAAATATTATTTTTTAATATATATATATTTTTAATTTCAAATTTGGTAAAGAATTTCGATGTGACCCTGCGGCAAAAGTTGTTCAGTTTATTTTTCTGCATAACATAGTGTGTTTTTTTTTTTTTTTTTTTTTTTTTTTTTTGGTGCCGAGACCTTCCCTGGTCCTTGTACGGCTGGACCGCCCGGGAAGACAAGGTGATGTGCGGGGACCTTCCCTGGTCCTTGCACAGCTGGACCGCCCGGGAAGACAAGGTGACCTGGGCGGCCCGGCTGGTAGCCTAGGATAACACTATTATGCATTCCTTACTTTTATTTGTCTTCTTTTTTTGGGGGGTGAGGAGCTTTTTTCTCTTCAAAATTCACCGTTCGGCGGCTTCACCCGAATCTTTTTTTTTTTTTTTTTTTTTTTTGGARAAAWAAAWAMACCARGAMATTGKGGGGARAATGCGCGCTYTKTTYTTTGCGACATCACAGCTWTTGAAAMARAAAAAMGATCCTTAAAAAAAAAAAAAAAAAAAAAAAAAGGAAAACGGTACAGATCATATTGCTACTATTGTTCGTGCGGCTCCTGCGTTGTCAAGGATGATAGCTCGCACAACTCGAGAAATGGTTCAAATTACAAAAAGAAAAAAAGAAAAAAAAAGAAGGAAGCGAAAAAAGAAGAATGCTGTACCGGTAGATTGGATTGCTTGCATGTATGTATGCACAATGCTACTTTTTTCTTTTTTTTTTCTCATGCGCAATGCTTCTTGGTTTGCAGTCTGCGGACACACCATCGAATCTCTCTTCTTCTCTTTCATCTACCAACCCTTTTGGTTCTGATTTGCAGACTGCACTACCCCACCCCACCCCACCCCACCCCACCCCGCCCCACCCCACCCCACCCCACCCCACCTTCTCCTCCTCATTTCTAGACTCTGACATAACATGACATGCTTGCGACACCCTGACATAACATGGCATGCTCACCAGTCGTTAGTTAAGGAAAAATAATAAAAAGCCATGGCCATCAGTTTGCCGCCAATGACGATACAGCGGCGCGTGTATTCGCAGTTTTCCTCTGTGGCCAATCTCCTCCTCCTCTCCTCCTCCCTCTGCGTCTCGCCTCCTCCTCTCTTTCTCTCAGTCGTCGTCCGAAACGGCAAGCCATTCGTTTGTGTCTTTTTTTCTCTCTCCCCCCCCCCCCCCCCCCCCGCCCTCCCCCTCTTTTCTTTTCCCAGATGATGGTCTATTCCAGCCCTAGTAGCCGTTGACTGAATGATTGGGCGTCGCTCCACTATGCTCCACGTGCACAAACGACACAAAATATGGCGACGTATCTCTCCTTTTTCTAGTGGAAGATTCATTCTTATTTTGCACATTTGGTGAGTAGTGAAGCGAGGCCCATTGTATTTTACCAATTGTCTAGACAACGCACCACAGCACAGTACAGCAGAGCACACAGCACAGCG